TGGTGCTTGACTGCTTTCCTTCTGCAGATCCTTTCCGTTTATGCTGGCTCTTTTTTATTTTAAAGAGTAGTAATTTTGTTTTGAAAAATTAATTAAAAAAAAAAAAATGTCCCCAGAGAAGAAAATGATGATCTGAACAATCCCGATCACAATGCTAAAACTGTCAAGGAAGGGATTCCCTTCTAGATTTCTACTGACCAGCTGGGCTAGTGTGAGTTTAGTTTAGCAGGCACTTTAGGCACTATCAATAAAAATCACCTTCAGTAAAACATGCTATGGTCTCCCGAGGTTGGCTTGGGATAGCCAGCGATTCATGAACTGATTCTTGTGCTCGCCTTGAACAAACCAGTTCTAAATTCTAAATTCACTGGGTTTTCTTGATGCTTCTTTGTAAGCCTGGGACATGATGGATTTATTAAACTCAAAAATCAGTAAGATGGCTTTTCTTCCCCCAGTCCCACTCTGCACTGGGATATTTTGAACCATAACAGTAGCAGTAATGAATGCTTCTGTGCTTGCTTAGAGATGATTATTTGTACACTTTTCAATCTATTTTTCTAAGGCTTGCCATCTGATGCCCATCTAGTATTCACCCTCTCTCTGCTGGGAGGATGAGCACAACTGATCACAAGGGAAAAGTTCCGTTTAAGAACATACGTCTCAGCAAACAGAATGCATTCTCTGTCTGACAGCTGCTTCCATCTTCTTTCCTGCTTCACACCCCTCCCTCTATTTTTAATTAAATTCCATATTTTTGCCCCTGTAAGAAGCCATGCAGGCCAGATCTGAGAGTGAACTCCCCGTTCAATGTTCTTGTTTAAAATAATCAAACACACCTCTTTGCTAAGAACTTGGGTAATTGGGAGAAAGCTGGGAAGCATCTCTCTGCCAACTATTGGAAGAAGAAATGCTGCTCCAAAGGGCTCTGTGATAAGACTCTAACAACAAATAGATTTATATTTTTGGTTCTTCCTCCTTGACAGGTTTAATGGGGAGAAAAGCATGTCTGTATCAAATTATCTTCATTGATTTATTAGAAGACATGCAAAATGATCAAGCTCCAATTTTTAGACAATTCCTGATACTGCTCTGTTAAAGCAAAACTTCCTCAGATTTCACACTGAAAGAACAGGTTTTGAAAGTACAGCTAAAGCTTACAAATCAGATCAGAGCTCCTCTTTTGAGGAGGTCCTCATCAGTCAGAAAGGATATTATATTTGGAAATATTGAAATATGCCAAGGCACTGAGATTATCTTGTTGGAGTATGTATGGACCTGAGAGCAATTTGGTTCAGGACTAGGCCCCAGATGTACGTACTTCTGCATGTAAAAACTATGTATGCAATGAAAATGGCATAATATAGTAGCTAATTACCCAGTTTGTCAAAAAATTAAACCCAGCTATGGCTAGCGACACACATTCAGCATCAGATGGCAGTGACTGCTGAGCACATCCATCAGCTTTAGCAGGGATTCCAGTCTGTGGTCTCTAGCAAACCACAGCACTTCCCTTTCTCAATTTCTGTAGAATAAAGCTGGTAATGCTCTCTGGGGATCTCAGGAGGTTTCATTCACCTATGTAAGAAAAATTCTGTTAGATTCTGTATCAGAGATTTACTAAAAAAAACCCAGCAAAGGTTAAGTGACTGGTTTTAATGCAGAAGTATGCAGATGATATTCTTTTACAAACGTTCCTGTGGCATACCAAAAATTAGACAGGATCCGGAATGAAGTTTTTACTTTGTTAAAGGCACTAACACATGGTGTTCTAAAATAATGACAGAAATAGTTGTAGCCATATTGCTTATACCATAAATCCAACACTTCTAGTGAGAATGCCAAATGCTAGGCGTATTTCTCAGTTGTTGCAATGTCTTATGAAATATCAGATTGTCTCTCCGGGGGGACACAACCTGATCCAACAAAGGGCTGAGCACCCTTAGTTGATGCAACAGGCAGTCAGGTTTCTAAAGCTGAAAGCAGCCTAAAGAGTGGGAAGAAAAAGAGAGAAACTAAATTGTGCATGTCTTACACAGCTGAAAGCTGCTTAAAACCAAAAGTAAAATTTAAACTTAAACAAGAGGAGGGTAGATTTTTGAGAATTTGAAAAATCTGTTCAGTGAAGGGGGGGAAAAAAAACCTGTAAAATTTAAAGAGAAAAAAATTTAACTCTGGTCCGAATCCAGGTAGAGGGCTGTATGTGGCATTATTATAGGTTCCCATATGTTTTCTAGAGGCATTTAAAGAGACAAGGAAATTTAGACAAGGCGAAATGTAATTATTTGTGTTTGAAACAAAATAGCGGTGTCTATGCATATACTCTTCCTGTTGAATTAACATTACTCAATTAAATTATTTTCATATGCTATTGTACTTTCAGAGGTAGCCATATGTTCTTCCATATTCTGTTTCACATGCTACTTTTCTTAGTTATCAGAACTTAATGACATAAAAATTGCTATCTGAGTTGACATGGTTATTCCCTCTTGATGATAGTCTTTAAGCAGAAGCATAATGTGACAGATGAGAGTGCTGAAGCTCAGTGTTTCACACAGTCTTAAAAATAATAATAAAAAATTACTCCTGCAAAACTTTGAAAACTATTCTATGGGGGAACAATTTTTATACTCTAATTTGTTTGCTCTTCTGTCTTCATTTTTCTACACCTAGAAACGTGTATGAAAACAGGAATTTAGTTGTTCAGGAACTCACTCCCGCTGTGCAGTCATCACAGCAAATCACAACCCCCTCTTTTGGTTAGCAGTTTAAGACTAGGTAGCAGCATAGATTGAATAAACATGGAAAATTAAACAGGTCTGAGATCCATACTGGATATAGGGCTGAATTTAACTGGAAAGGCATGCAGAATTGTATTTGAGATTGGCAAAATCTTGTTGATGGATAATTTTGGCTCAAAATGAGGAAAGTAGTCTGAAGTCTGAGCTGTGTAAAGGCAGGTTCAGCGCAACCGGGACATAGGTACAGAGGTGGCAGTAGGCAGACAGAATATTTCTGGAGATTTCTGTAGTCTTGATGCAGAAAAGTAATTCCAGCAAGATCTCTGTCACTCTGAATGGAGCTCTCACAGAAACAGTTACTCCCAGAGAATTTCAACAGCATCTAACCCAGACTGGAGTGAGAGACTCCTTTCCATTTTGAGAGGCTAGCCTGAACCTTGCTGGAAATGAGGATTTGTATACAGGCATCCGTATCCAGCATCTGCACCACCAAACTTCCCAAGGCTTCACACATGAAGTTTTGGGTTTAACTCATTTCAAATGTTTACTTAATGTTAGATTGATCTGTTCTGGGTATAAGCATTACATCAAGCACCAAAGAATGATGCAAATTAATGTAAATGATGCAAGCTAATTCTTTGGATATCAAAGGTACAGAAAGTTTTACGTTTCAGAAAATTGCATCTTTCTCTTCTTGCTTGTTAGTATTTGGATAATTTGCATGAAAATAACATCTCTTTGCTTGTGAGGTTTTGCCCCCACTGCTTTATTATTCACTCAAAACAGTCGTTCTTTGCGTATGATGTCATTGTTATTTGCTATTGAAATAATTTTAATGTCACAAAAAGGATTAAAATTTCAAGTGAGGAGTGAGCAATAGGAAAACCTTATCACCTAAGCAACAGAAGTCCTGTTTCATGCCTGCGTTTAATTATACCTAACAAGGCAAAAAATCCCTGTCACCGAGGGAATGATGCATTCTCTTTCTTCCCAAACAAAACGGGTTTTTTATGCCTTTAATGACGGGCAGAGCTGGTGGGTTCTGCATTTTTTAAATATGCCAGGAGCAGTTATTTGTTAAGCATCAATGTCAGGTTGATACAAAATGAGCCTGTTGTGACAAGGATGAGCCGTTTGAGGGGGTGTTTTGCAGCATTCGGGACCTTTCCCCAGCACAATCTTCCACGTTGGCAGCATCCTGTGCCTGAGGAGGACGGGCTGGGAGGAGAGCGTGGCATGGCCAAGGCTTCCCTGGCGGCAGTGATGCCTGTAAACTAAGATTATTAGAAAATAGGTATTTGTGGAATAGAATTATCAAGATCAATGAAAGCTGTTTTAACCATCGTGCTGCAGAACAAATACTAAACTTTTGAGGAATAGTTAGAATAACTGGAGGATAAGGCACTCATAAATAATCTTACTTGAGATGGTTCAGCCTTGTAGTAGCCGGTGCAAAGAAACGTAAAGATAAGGAAGCTGCAAATTAGCAGCAAAAACAGTGCAGGCCAGCCTTGAAGGACAAGATATATGTGACCACAGGACTGAGTTTGCGCAGAAGTAAGGGTCAACTGGTGGACACAGTGAAGAAGACTGCGAGCCTTCATCTAAAGAACCCCAACAAACACCTTAAGCCTCCAACAGACATGCGCAAGAGACATTAACATATGCTAATGAGTTCCCAGAAACGTTACATGATAAAAATATTATAAAAATGCAATTATTTTGTATGATTAAGGTAGTATAAATGCTTGTTGATTTTGCTTTCAGACACAATTAGGAGGAGCTATCCCCTGTGTGCCTGAAGAATGCTTGCTCTCTGAAACTCCAAAATTGAGTCTTAGAGAGTGAATTAATGACCACTAACAGCAGGGCCAAGCCTCAGGTCCGGCTCTAACCTCCCAGTTCCACCTTCCCAACCCTCTGGTGATCTCCGACTTCGAAGCACGGGCCTACGGAGACCATCTGGGATGGCGGCGGCGTGCTACCTCCATGCCCGGCCCAAGAAACCCGAAAGCTCGACCAAGGGTCGGCAAAAAGCGCCTCGCAGGCACCCTGAGGCGGGGGGGGGGGGGCTCCCCGCCCAGCTCAGCCCCCGGCGCTACGAGCGCGGGGCGGCCCAAACCTGAGGTAAACCCGGCGCCGCCGCGAAACCCCGTCCCGCTCCGACAAAAAAGGGCACAACGCGCCTGTTTCCCGCCCCGCCCCGCCTCGCCCCGCCCGAGGAGCGGCCCGCGGCCCGCCGCCCCCTCCTCCCGGCCGGCAGGAGCCGCTGCGGGCGGCGGCGGCATGGCGATGGGCGAGGCGGAGGGCGGCTCGGCGGCGGGCGCTGTGGAGAAGCCGCCGCTCCCCGCGGCGGGCCCGGGGGCAGCCGCGGCGGTCGCTGCCGCCGTCGCAGCCGCGGCGCCGGAACCCGGAGCTCCGGCGGAGGAGGCGGTGGTGGTGTGGAGCCCCGAGGTGGAGGTTTGCCTCTTCCACGCCATGCTGGGCCACAAGCCCGTAGGTGAGAGCTAGGCCGCGGCCTCGAGTAGCGGCGCTGGCCGGGGAGGAGAACCAGGCGCTGGGTGCGGGGGACCGGCGGCCCGGGCGCGGTGCGGTGCTGCCGCTAACGGGCTCCGGGCCGGCTCCCGCCGCCGGGGCTTCTCCCGAGCGTGGCGGGGTCGGTGGGGAAGGAGGCGCCGAGCCCTCCCGGGGACGCGGAGCCAGCCCTCCTCGCCCCCCGCTATCGCTTTTCTTGACTTGCTGCTTTATAATTCGGTTGCTTTTCCCTCAGCCTCTCTAAAAGCTCTGGCAGCGGCCCCGTGTCAGCGTTACCCGGTGGGGCTCCCTCAGCCCTTCTCCAGAACTGTAACCCAGGGTGAAATAACAGCCGGGCTGGGCTGCCCAGGCTGCCATCTGCTTCTCCTATGATGTGTGATTTCTTTGTAACGATAGGATGTTTTATTATTATTGTTTTGATTGTGTGGCTTAAATAAAACTGTTAGTAGTGTTAATTGCATGGAGTTCTTCCCCCCAGGTGTGAATCGCCATTTCCACATGATCTGTATCCGAGATAAGTTCAGTCAGAATATTGGACGGCAGGTTTCTTCCAAAGTGATTTGGGACCATCTGAGCACCATGTATGATATGCAAGCTCTTGTGAGTATAAAGGGTTGATACAGCCACATTCTTATTATTTCTTATAGTTCAGGAGTTTTGATAGACCAGAATCACTGGGTCTGTGAAACATTCCTTTCATGTTCTAAGAATATCATGTCATTCAAGTGGGTTGATGGGGTTTTCCCTGTCTAAAAGTACATTAGGTGAGAGACAATAAAACCTGCAGTGGGTTTTTTTTTTTCCCATTCTGTGTTCTGACTTTCTTTATTAAAGTTGCCTAAATTCTAATCTGGAAAACGCTTACAGAGATACTTAAGTGTCAACAAGGAGGTTATAGTATGTTTCTATAAGAATTTGCCATGGTTGGGCAAATGATCTCAAATGATCATGGGTCACATATCTTGATCTTGGTAATCACTTTGACATCAGGAGCTTCCTGATTCTCTAATGTCTGAAATGTCTTGTTAAGAGTTATTTAGCTACTAATAACATGTAAAATAGAATTTGAGATTGCACTTCTAAATCCAAATTAAAGTTGTTATCAAAGTCATTCATGGAGATGGTTTTTTTCTTTCTAAGCATGAATCTGAGATTCTTCCGTTTCCTAACATAGAGAAGAATTTTGCTCTTCCTGATGAAATGATTCAAGAAGTGAGGGAAGGTAAGATGTGATAGCAGTCTCTTACTCCTGGTTGCTCTAATCTCATTGAAGAATGGGTAGTTTAACAAAACTCCACAGCCCCCCCCCCCCCCCCCCCTAAAAAAAAAAAAAAAAAAAACAACAAAAACTTAACATTTCGATCCAAGGCCATTCTTTCAGACTGGTGTGTGAAGTGTATCAGGGAGAGAAAGTGTTAAACAGATAGAAGTTTATCTCATTTTCCATCAGCTGACTGAAGGACACTGTCAGGGAAAGGATTGCTCTGCTTGTGCTGTTCATATTCTCACTATTAGCCTGTGTGATTGACCATTGTCGAAGACAGGACAGACAGACCTTTGGTCAGATACCACATGCCATTTCTCATATTCTAAATATAATGTAGATGGGATGCTAATATAGCACAAGCAGGTTCTATTGATACCATTTAGATTCTTTTCCTGGGTGTACACAAGAGCTCTGTGTGTTTCACCAATACTAGTTTTCAGAGTAAAAGGCAAAATGTGGTTCTTTGCAAGGTGATTAGTAGTTTATTGTGGGTTTTTTGCACTTTGCTGAGAGAGCTGTGATACTACATCAGACCATAGTTTTTGCTAAAACAGATGATCTGCACACGTGAATGTGGTTTATTTTTGTAGCAAGATCATTTTTTGAAGAGTATGAGCTATGGAGCTGATGAAAATAACATTTTCTGCATTTAATTTGTATATAATACTATTTCTGTGATAAAATATTCTGTGCCAGTGATGATATAAGGCAGTTAAATAGCAATTCAGTTAATGTTTAAAAATGTGCACTGGGAATATACTTATTGAATACTGCAGAAAGTTGCTTTTTGGCCGTGGACTTGTGCCTTTTGCCGGTATAACCGTCTGCTTTTTAGGCTATTACTATTTTTAGTATGGTTCATATGTCTTATTTTTAAAATGATTTCTGTTTTTCAATGGCTGATGATAGATTTTTCATGAGAATTTTTTTTTCCTGTAGTTGTGTTAAAATTGACTGAAAATAAAACCAATATGAAATGTTTAGGGGCGTTTGTATAGATTCACGGTGGTTTCATTGCACTGTGAAATCATCTCTCTGTTTTCACCTTCTTGGGATTCAACTACTTAGTTCTTCCAAATCTCTCACTCATGATAAGCCCATCCATATTATCTAATCTAATAGAAATACGCAGCAGTTTGATAGAAATCTTAGGTTGAGCAGTGAGAGCTGGATTTTCAAAGTTCACCTATTTGTGTGTTACTTATTACTGTTATCCAGGGTAGGAGCTAGGAAGTTCATGTAGCTGTCAAAGGAGTTCTTGGAATATTTTAAACAACAGTAGAATACTTCTCAATTACTATGTACACTAAACTTTTTATACTGAAAATTCAGTGTAAAATCATAGTATGGCTAAGGCACTGTGATATGTTTTGCCTATTTAGCATTTCACTCTTTTCCTGTTAATAATTTCAATGCAACTTTTTGACATGTGACACCATCTTGTTCAGTGCATGACACTCACAGTATGCCTGGCCTGTTAGCTCTGTTTACCACAGTGCTAAGGAACCTCTACTGCTGAATGTTGCACTGAATATTTATTAACATTATGCAGGTATGCTGAGGCTACTATTCCAGTAAAATTACCCGTGGTTCTTTAAAACCATCTAACCATTGCCTAACAATCCTTTCTGTAGGAAAAGTAATGATTGAAGAAGAAGTGAAAGAGGAAATAAAAGAAGAGATGGAAACGCATGCAGGTCCAGAAGAAGGTAAATTTGTAACTCTCTACTGTGTAATACGAGATTAAAGAACAACTGTAACTCTGAGAAATTAATGTTAAAATGTAAATCCCAAATATGGTGTACGTTGTGATTTGTACTCAGACTTAGTATATGCTCATGCCAAGAACTAGAATAATTTAAGAATGCACAGAGTAAGCAGTTGCCAATATCTGATACTTTGAAAGATTTCTCCTTTGCTCCTAATTCCCATGTACAGACTTGACTAGCTTTGGAGTTTTTTGGTTTTCATATGTACTTGACAAAACCCCGAGAGTCTGAAGTAATCTAAGAATCTCTGAAAGAAAGTTGAGTCCAGTTGTAGTGAACCTGAATACTCTGTGTTAGGATCTTTGTAGTCCTGGGGCAAAATAGGGTCTATAAATCAAAAAAAGGTTGTAAGATTGTATGCTTAAATGGGAAAATGGGCAGAGTGGGGTTTTTTTCATTATTTTATTTGCATTATCTTGCTTCTTTTAAATATAAGTCTTATTTTCCTAACACTTTGCTGTAGAACAAAGTCAAATGTGAACAGTAGGGATTTTGCTATTTACCTTCACAGACCAAGCCAATTGTTAACTATATAATTTCATAATATTTATATCACAGAATGAGTGGTGTTTTAAGATTGAGTGTAATAAAAGATCTAAAAATGTATTTTTAAAATATATTAAATTTCACATTTTGGGTGTTCAGTTTTCAAATCTATAATACCAAATGTAATGACCGTTGCTGATTATAAATTTCATAGATTGGTCCTATGTTCTGTAAGTGTTCCTATTAAGTATTTTAATTTTAATTGCTGTTTAATTCCACTTAATGATTTTCACTTTTAGCCTGTCAAAATCCATGCCTGTCTTTAAAGCAAATAATAAAAGCAAGATGTGCCTTTCTTACAGAAGATTTTTCCTTTAAAAGTGAAAGTAATATTTAAATGGTGGTTAAATATGCTGAGAATTGATTGGTTTGACATGTTTTATGTAATATAAAGAAATTTGATATCACTTCTTGTTTGCCCATGTGTATGACTCTGATCTGGAATCATTACTTTGATCCTATTTCAGTTTTTGCACCCTCTGGAAGTTTAGGAAAAACAACTGAAAAGCCAAGCAACAAAGAGAAAGAGAAAACTTCATCAGATTCTGGGTCCAAGGAAGGATCTGATAAGAGGAAGCGCAACAGAGTCACTGAAAAGGTCTTAAACGCAAACAGTAATCCTTCCAGTCCAAGTGCTGCAAAACGACGCAGAACATAAAGCAAGCTGTGAAAGAGAAGTAATAAACTGTGGAACGTGAGGAGGGAACATTAAAAACGAGTAGCACAATAGTCGCTACCTAAACTTTTTGAGAAAGGAAAAGATACCTGAGCCAGGTATTTGAAGAATCTGCACATTGGCTTTATACATGGGAGACTTTGTACGTCTTTCCTGATGTGTTTTCTAGTGAGCACTGAGTAGTTGGGCGATGGCTACCTTCTCAGGGCGTTGGGGGAGAAACCTGGCAGTGTTAAGAGTTTATGCGTGTATAACGGTTCCAGTGGTTGCGTTTCAAACAAGTAACACTCTCTGCGTCAACACAGTTGATGAAACACGTGCTCAGTGAAACATGGAGCCCCAGTTCATGAAAAGCATAGGTTATTTTTTTACGTTTTGGATCATTTTTTCCCCCTTTGCTGCTGTCTTTAAATATTACAGACCCTCCATGGGTGATGTTGTTTGGCCATTTTACTTACTGCAGGCATAGCATTTGTATCAAATGTCTGAATTCATTGGTTCAGTAAAACTAAAATTCTTTTAAATACAGGTCACTACTGAGTTGCAGTATTGTTTCTCCCTGTTTGCCAGGGGAATCTACTTTCACCCTTAGTGACATAACATTTTTTGATCTTTACATACCATAAGTAAAAAAATGATAATGCCCCTAGACAGAATAATTAGTAAGTGCCCTAAATAAAATATCCAGTGATGTCACATGGTTTTGTAAGGGATCATCTGAGCTGTGCATGAACCTGGAGCTGTTGCTTCATCCATTTGTAATATAGTAGTATGTGACAGTGGGTTTTGTACGTTATTATTTATTTTTTTTTAAAGCATTTTTAGGAGATGTTAATGGAATTCGTATTCCAAAATGTTAATTTTGTTCTACAACTTGAGAATCTTACTGACATTGTAATGCTTATCTTTTATATGCTAGAATATTAAGATTTGATGAAGTTACTATTTTGGTGTTGTGAAAAGATGGCCTGCAGTCACCAAACACATGGTGAATGAAGTAGGCTGAAATGTTACTGAATTTGTTTCACCATATTAACTGTCAGTTAATAAAAATAATTACTTCTTAATCTGTCAGTATTGCCTTCAAGGTGAGGAACTAGGAATCTAGTTTTTTGCTTTTATTCTAGGTACGTAGCCAAGTTCTTGTCTGCCTTACTTGCTTCACTTGTTTTATACCAAGAATAAATTTGTTTTTATTTTACTAAATTATAATTGTTGCGTAACTTGATTAAAATTTGACTTAACTTATTTTGGAGGTTATTTGGGTATCTTGTGCCTTTAGTGAAATTGGTCAAAAGTGCCTACCTGTTTTGTTGGATTTTTTTTTTTACTGACTTTGCCTGGATCGTAGCGAACTACTACACTGTTATTTCCATAAGATACTTGGTAAAAAATCCTGGCCTGCTGAACTCAATAGGCAGATTGTTGTAAGCTTGTTCTAAGTGGCATAATGTGATTGTGAAGTACTGAGTTGAGAAGATGAAGTTTTTGTGATCTCTTGGAACCTCAGCTCTTTACCCGCTCATACGCACTGGTGAGCTCTGGAAGGTCAGAACTCTGCCGGCATGGCCACCAGAACTGCTTTTACAGCCTGATGCAGGCTCACTGGCTTAGGGTCTGAAATAGTGGGGCAGAAACAAATTCCAAACCAGAAGGTATGAAATGCCATGAATTTAGTGCGGTGCCCCAGCTGATAAGCCTTGCAAAAGGTCTGGAGAGATACCTGCCAGCCGGAGAGCTCTGTGGAGCTCTGGGTTGTGGGAGAGATGATAAGGGTGTCTCAGAGGTTTTCTGGGTGAGTAGAAATCAAGCTTTTATAGCTTTATGTGAGAAAGCTGCTGGTTTAACTTTTGATATTTAGGAAAAACGCTCTATTTGGTATGACCAGGTTCCTAGAAGTTTTAATCATGTCACAGATCTGTCGTCGAAGTCTGTGCTGAAAGATGAATGCCTCTTAAGTTTTGCTGTTTCCTTAAGAATTAAAGTGCTGGTTACTTTGTTGTGACCTACATAGATATGGGCCATAAAGTGCAGATTTGGTGATTCTGAAGTCTCCCGGCCTTTTGGGTAAATCCTTTTCATCCAGGGGATTCTATTCAAAATTTTTTTGCTGTATCAATGAAATGTTTTTTTATAGCTTAAAGTAGAAGTGTGTCAACATTAACATGTACTGGTGCAATCTCTCAACATTGTCCTTGAAGCAGGGAATGTCCACTTGGGATCTCATCATCAATCCAGCAACACAGATGACAGGATTTTGTTGGTTGTGAAGTTACGTGTTTGGAAAATGTAAATGTTTGAAATGACCTGAGTGCTGCAGCTCTTTTTCCCTCCCATCCCTTTTACCAAGTCCTTCATGGGAAGATTGTTCTTTTATTCATTTTTCTGTAAGAGGAGTATTACTTCATCCTGTGGAAGGATTATGTTTTTAACTATGTGAAGAAGTTAAATACACAAGCTTTGCTGAATCCCTCTCACTCTGAGGGAAAGAGGAAAGGTCCCGTTACTCCAGTATCTGGTTTCCAGCAGCAGTCAATTTGCGTGGCTGGGGTGGTACATGGCCTGTTGAGGAGCACTTACGCCAGAGTGGATGGAAAAGAGCAGAATTACATTTCCTTTTTTTATGTTTTTTTTCCGAGGGCTGGATCCCCGGAGCTATGGCGGGGCTGACGGACGCGAGCGGGCGGGCGCAAGGACCGCGCGGCCGGCCGGCCGACGGCCAATGAGGCGCCGCGCCGCAGGAAGGGGGCGGGGCGTGCTCGCACTTCCTCCCCCCCCCTCGTCTCTCCGTTTCCCCCCCCCCATGTGCTCGGGCTTTGTGCTGGGCGGGCGGGCGGCCCCGCCGCCCCTTTCGCTTTCCCTTTCCCCTCCCCGCCGCTCCCATGGCGGCCTGGCTCGGCTTCAGGGTGGAGGAGGACGAGGCGGAGGACGAGGCGTGCTTCTGGGGGTACGACTCCACCTGGGACGAGGAGGACGAAGAGGAGGAGGAGGAGGAGGATGGCGACGAAGGCGAGCCGGAGGGAGCGGAGGCGGCATCCGAGGAGGAGCCGGAGGGTGCGGGGGAGCAGCCGGTGCCCAGCTGGGTGCGGGGCTGCCGGAAGCCCCAGGTGGGTGCCGGGGGTGTGCGGGGCGCAGACCAGACCCTCCGAGGTGGGACTGGGGGTGGGGGGGGCGGCGGGGGACGGGACGCCCCTTCCCCTGCTCGCCCCGAGCTCCTCAGCCGCCCCCGCTCCGGCTGCGCTGGCCGCACCCCCGTTGGGTGCTGCCGGAGCCCCCTTTTGGGTGCTGCCGGAGCCCCCGTTGGGTGCTGCCGGAGCCCCCGTTGGGTGCTGCCGGAGCCCCCTTTGGGTGCTGCCGGACCCCCTTTGGGTGCTGCCGGACCCCCTTTTGGGTGCTGCCGGAGCCCCTTTGGGTGCTGCCGGACCCCTTTTGGGTGCTGCCGGAGCCCCTTTGGGTGCTGCCGGAGCCCCTTTGGGTGCTGCCGGACCCCTTTTGGGTGCTGCCGGAGCCCCCTTTTGGGTGCTGCCGGAGCCCCCTTTTGGGTGCTGCCGGAGCCCCCTTTGGGTGCTGCCGGAGCCCCCTTTGGGTGCTGCCGGAGCCCCCTTTGGGTGCTGCCGGAGCCCCCTTTGGGTGCTGCCGGAGCCCCTTTGGGCGCTCCCGGGGCGGCCGGTGGGTCCTGTCGTAGCCCCGTGGGTGCTGCCGGGGATTATGCCGGGTAATTCCGCCTGTGGCACAGGCGTGCACGCGTGGATCTCTGCAGGCCACCCGCTTGGTATGCTGTCGGGGTGTTCGGGTTGCTTTCTCTCAGGTATCCTAATTTATTGTCGGGAGCTGGAGCAGCTTAAAATACTTACAAGAAGTCAAAGATCCCGGCAGCGATCGCTAGCATCTAATTTTGTTCTCCTCTCGATGAAGCGAACCATGGAAGAGAGGAGTCAGCCTGGGGCACGTTTAGAAATGAGCTCTGGGGGTGGCGGAGGCAGAGGTGTGACTTTGTGACCCCTCAAGTTCCATTCGGCTGCCAGGGAGCTGAGTTTTAATTTTATTTTTGCATTACCCCCACCGCTCCCTGTGGTCTGGGTACTTTATCCCGTAAATACACGTTCTGTTTTCTGTAGGGCACCTGCCTGCCCACCGCGTTCTGATGGCCACTGGATTTGATATTGTGACACTGATGTTCTTCAGCAGCTCTTGGCTTTTAAGTTTTTTGTTGGTATCCTTAGCTTTGTATGATGGCCCTCCATATGCTCTTTCATGCCATCGATAAAAAGCTATCACATAATACCTGCTCACTTTTAAAAAAGCGAGCTCTAACTTTTTATTTTTCTTAGACATGTTTATATTTTTTTACAGAGTGTATTTAGTAGCAGCTCTGAAAAGAAATATCCACTGATGTTTTAAAAACTGCAGGTGTATGTGCAATTATAATGAGTGAGATAGTGCTGCAAAATATGAACACTTGTGTCTGGTGCCTTGAAGTATTGACTTGAAATAAAGGGAGCTTATTAGTCTTATCTGAGGTTCCTATCTTTATCATCAGTGTTTTTGATTTTGATGTTAAGCATCAGAAATTTCTTCTACAGCTTTGCTTCAGCAAATGCAAAACTGTGTCTCTCTTCAGTATTTACTGTGTCAGTTAAAACTTAACTCCTCCCCTTTTGGGGAAAGGGAAACTAATCCTTCACTTGAATTTTATTAGAGTATAAATAGGCAGATAAAGCTTTCTATCTAATACACTTTTAAAATAAGTTAATATTAAACTTTAATTTTTTATAAACATTAAGATATTAAAATAACCTCCCTTTTTTAAAAAAAAAAATAAAATTCTGTGCAAGATAAAATTCCAAACACTCGTGACTTCCTACAAAAATACTCTATCCTTTGCAAACACAATCAGAGTTGGAATACAGCAGATGGGCACACCCGTGCACATGTCTGTGTCTTCATGGAGTTTACTGCAGGGAATGTAGTTAGGCCTTGGCTATGTGTGTAGATCTGTGAAAGGCCATGAGTACATGAGTATTTCAGGTGGAATAACTGATAATTAAAGGGAGAGGCAGGGACTTCCTCTGAAGTGTTTTGCATTGGTTGAGGGCACAGTGTCAATTTTCTTTTGTATGTGGCTGGAGTTCTGGTTTTGTTCACAAGTTTTAATGCCTCAAAAACATTCAGATTATTCCTTTTGAATGCATTTGTTCTTCAGATTTTTTTTTTTTTTTTTTTTTCTTAGAGCAACTTCTGGGTTGACAGCTGTAAAAGCAAGGACCATTTTTTCACTCCAGTGAGTGGAGTTTTAGAACTTTGCTTCACAAAGGAGGATGTTGTCCCTGAGGCTTATGGCCCCTGGAATATTGTTCTGCATCTTTAAAGAGGAGTTCTTCCTTCAGTGATAAATGAGTAGTCATCTCTATCTGACAGTGCCTGAAAAATTTTTAAGGGCAATGAGAAGGAATACAAAAAGAAACAGCAAATCTTCTGTTATCCATTTATGCCTTTACACACTGCCAAAGGCATGAATCAGTTTTCAAAACTAGTTCCTACTTCTGCCTATATTACACTCATTCTTCTCCCCTTAGCCTAAATGGTATACTTTATGGCTGAAGCTGATAATGTTTTTATTCAATACTGAGATTAGAGGTTTTTTTTTTATTATTATTATTTTCAGTACATACTTTCAAAACCAACTTAAAATTCTTCTTTTAACTGTGTTTCCCTTGTGTCTCTGCAAATACTCCATGTTTGCTGTTTGAAATTCCTGCAGGTGCGTCTTCTCAGCTCTCTTGCATTTCAGTGCTTCTTTCCTTCTAAGAGTGAATGTTGAAAATCTTGGGGTTTGTGCTCATTTTAAAAATGTTACCTCTTAGTCTGCTATGGTGCACTGCTCAGAGCCATATTTTAATAACAAGCCCTGTAGTTATGCCTTCTCCTAACTCTTCATCAACAAAAGGTTTTGATCACTCTTTTAGGATTCTGTTGTCTTTCTTGTTCCTCTGTCTTGTTCACAATCCGTATGTTCTTTCATCCCTTTTGGTTGCAGCTGGTTTCCACTTTTCAGCCAAATGTTGTTTGTGTTACCCTCTCCTGGCTTTGTTCTCTGCTTTCCTCGTGCTCTTTGCACAGCAATGCGCGTTCTAACTGATGCGTTGCATGTTTGGAGGGAGCAACCCACTTAGATTGCCTGTCAGTGTTGTGAGAAATAAGGGGGTTTGATTTATGCATGCAAGTTTTGGTCTTGCAGTTTAGTTTGTCTTTCTAACCTGGAAAGGAAGGGGAAGTTATGTTTCTCTGTGGCTTAAATAGAACTTAGAGACCCAGGAACAACACTTGCTTGGAGGGAGGGCTGAGTTTTGCTCTCTTTGCTTCCCCTATCTTGTTCTCTTTAATGCTGTGCTCCAGAATGCCTTTCTCCTGGGTTGAGCTTCTTTCTAGACAAGCCTTCCAACACCTTGCACCATGGCATTGCATCTGTCTCTGTAGCTACACTTACTCTCAGCAAACTAGTTCTTCTTCAAAATTGGAGCCAGCCTACCATGAGCCTGTCCCACCCAACTGTGTTCAAGGATGTTATTTTAGAACGTTAAGTGTAAAGAATATCTGAAAATTGGTTCTTCTGTAATTGGAACAAAATTTTAATTGATTCCACATATATCAGAACTTCATCCTCGGAGCTGCAAAGTTATAGTCAAAAGCACCAGTGAATTTCAAAGTACTAAATCCCAGTCTCTATTTACATCTTGAACAAAAGAATAATATTAATCTGTTCAGGCTGAACATATTTCTTAGTCTTATGTTTGCAGCCACTTACTTTTTTCCCAGACGTTAGCTGTGCAGCAAAGCTTTTTCTAGTTGTGTGCATTTCTGCAGTCTGGGTAGGTTCTGGAGATGGACACCAGCGCTTGGATTTCTAATCCCGTATGGACCATGTGGCTGTGGGAAGTTCTGCCACCTATTTTGGTCTATGTTGTCATGTATAAAATGCAAATGTGTTGCAATGTAGACAGGCATTATTTTAGGTCATCACAAGATACTACATTTCAAAAACAAGTTGAGCTTTATTTAATTCCTGTCACCAAAGTATGGGGGAATCATAGTGTGTAAATGTGTATTTAAAATGTCATTTTAAAAACTTATGCATTGTGGACCTCCCTCTGTGGATAAAGGTTTGAACTCCCCAATGCTGTGTGTGCTTCATAAATTTTAAATACTAATGATCAATGGGGCTGCTGAGTAGATGACTTCATTACAAGGAAGTGTTAAAAAATCCAATCCAGTTCGTGCCTTTATAATTAATGAACCGGTGATCCATGTTCACTGTTTACTAGACAGTGGCTTTGTTTTTGATTTATCTCTGGGCAAATGAGGTTAGGAAGTATCAAGTTAAAAAGATAACTTGGGAGAGCATTTGCTGCTTCTTTTGTCTAAGTTTCTCAAAATGCTTATTTTGCAAGGATCTGCACATCTTACTTACCCCTATTTCACAAAGACTCTACTCTTGCTGTGAGCTGGCACTGAGCGCTCTAACCACGTTGTGCTTCGCATTGGGTGGATCCTTTTATTCATAAAAGTCTTGTTCATTTTGGTGGTTCTACCTTGAGTGAACACTTTTAATCGCTTTCATGGTTTGGGACAAGATTAAACCTGTGTTGCTTGTGAAGTGTAACAGAATCTCTTACTGAAGTAATCCACTGTAGAAAAAGGAAAAAAAGTATATCGTTCACTTAAAAAGCAGTTTAAATTAAATTATACTTGCAACTTCTATTTCTGTGAAGTTCAGAGGAATATATTAAGTTGGTTTTTGTGCATTCTGTCTGTCTAAATGCTACATTTGGAATTAATGTGGCACATCTGTGTAGCCAGGAGAACCTGACACCTAATTGTCAGGTGGACATGGTACCACAGGTTTTCTCTATCATGGGTAAAATCAAGTAAATTCAGCTGTAACAAGGTAAATCTGTCACTTGGCAACTAATAGAGATTGTGTGAGTCACTGCTGTGGATATTCTCATTTCAGATATATATATTTTTTATGTTATTAGTGAAGTTTGGTTTCAGAATCTTTACAACTAAATACCTTTTATTTGTAGGAGCAAAGATCAAATTCGTTACTGCTGTTTCGGAGTTTTCAGGTAGGCTTGACATAAAATTTCGTTACCTAGAGAGATGAGCAGTAATTAAGATGATGATTGGAACAGAAGCCCAATAAAATAAATACCTAATGTGACCATTTGGCTCTGCTGTCCACTGTCTAGATCAGCATGATGCTAAGTCATCAAGGCTGTTCTGGAGCATAAAGCAAAGATGAAGAAAACTTTATTTCAGTAATGTCTACAGCAAATGAGAATCCTGAATTTAAGGGATGTTTCTGCATCTTAAATTCTGTAGTTTTAAAGTCTGATCTCTGTCTTGACTAGGGTATATAGTGACTCAGACAGACCCAGACTTGTTTTTAAACTGTTGAGTTAAGGAAGAAAATGACATTTTACTATTCAGGATTTCCAGCCAGTTCTGGCCATTTCTGTAGGAAAACCCAACTGGGATAAAAGATACGCATAAAACATTAAGACCTTGATTAATAAGACAAGAAAGAAAAAGAAATAGTTTGGTTAAAGGAGATGGTGTGAACCTCACTTAGTCCAAAACTGTCTTCAGGAATGCAGAGAAAAAACTGCAGTAACAAACTGGCTGGTTTTGGGGGTGCTGGGAGCGCAAAGTGGAGGGTACAGGACAGCAGTAGGCCTGGGAACATGTGTGAGAGATGCTAAATTCAGTCAGCGTATTTTTTATCTTTTTTTTTTTTTTTTTTTTTTTTTTTTTTTAGAAGACAGCCTTGTTCTGAATCTCTAATCTGTCTCTTTTCTCTAGTTCTCAGGCAGGCGCAACTGGAACGCAGCAAAAGACTTGCAAAGATACAGACACTGTTACCCGGTATGGACCAAATGATGATGCACGTGCTCTTGTGGCTCTTCCTCATTGTCTACTAAATTTAGGAACACTTGCTAGATTTGAGAGCACCCTTTTGTCTTTGCATCGACAGGCTCAGAACCTTTAAAGCATTCATTAGTGAGGGGGAAGGGCTAATGTACATGTGGGTGCATCAGAAACAATCTGTTACTTCCCAAAACACATTTCAAGGTTTTAGCTTAAAATGTTTAGGAAACATGAGGGAAAGCAAGGAGAAGTGTTGCAGTGAATACTGCCTTTTTAAAGATTACTGCTTGTTGTTTTCTTGTTCTTATCTCCAGGATTTGGTAGAATCGGAAAATGAGGAGGAAGAAGAGATGTGGAACTTAAGCTTTTATAAAAATGAGATTTGTTTTTTGCCCCAGGGTGAGTGCCTTGTGTGATGACTGTTTGATGCAACTCTGCTGCAGCTGGCTGAATTGGTGAAAGAGTAGCTTGATCCATCTGGGACAATTATTAAACCAAAGCACACCACCAAAACAAACAACCAAAATCCCACCCCCCCCAAAAAAAACAAACAAACAAAACCCACCAAGAAGTTGCATTTTTTAAAATTTCCTTGTTCCTGCTGTATGTTCCTTAATTTTCTGTTTGGCGGTAGAAAACTGGGGTTTTTTTCCTGGCTTACCAGGATGGTTGTCTGGTTAGAGAAGCCTGTATGCAAGCACCTGGCTCTGCATAATGACCACCCTGGGTGACTGGCTAACTTTAATTTTTAATTTGGTGTCACTTCTTCTTGCATGACTTTTTTGTTTTCTTTTTAGGCTTGCATATTGAAACTCTGCTTGAGTCTTGGTGGGACAACTATGAAGTTCTGGAAGAAAACCATTCTTACATACAGTGGTAAACTGTCTGTGTGAATATAGTGCCTCTCTTAAGAGACAGTTTTATCTGTGTTCTGAATTCAGCTTCCCAAAAGGCCTAGAATTACTCTTGAGTGAAACCTGTGTCCGCTTTATTGAGTTCTATTCTTCTGGAAACAATGCAGTGGAAATCCTCAAGACATGGGTTTCCAGTGCACTATAGCAATAGATCTGCCATGCTTGGTCTTACTGCAGAACAAAGTATTGGGACAATGAGGGGGATCCAGATAAGCAAAGTGTGTTGTTATCATTGGTATGGACAGTGCTTTTATGGGAGGGATTTATTTGTCGTATAGTATACCACTACTCTGTCCATAAGGATGTGAGGTAACCAAGAGATGCCTGGGATATCAGTTTTTGGAATCTTTTTTTAGTTTTAACAAAATGGGTGCCCTGGGTTGGATGTCATCTTTGCTCATCTGGGCTGAAAATTTTTTTTTCCCTTCAGGCTATTTCCTTTACGTGAACATGGGATGAACTGGCGTGCCAAACCACTCACGTGTCAAGAAATCCAGGTATTTAAAGCTGCTTTTTTTTTTTTTTTTTTCTGAGATCTTAAGGATGTTAGGATTGTTCCCCAAATGCTTTATATTTGAAGTCTTTTTTTTTTCTTTTTTCTTACATTGCTTCCTTGGGGCCCTAGTGTGAAAGGAACTCACTCAAGCACTGTTAAGCATTTGTCTCTTTAGTCTGCCAGTAGCTACACCAGCAGATTAAATGCTTAGTGTTATAATCAAGAAAATTAAGGTGCCACTTAAACTGGTGCAGGTGATTAGGGATTTGCACCTTGTACTCATGGATCTATCTTGTTTTCAGGCCTTTAAGAAGTCCAGGGAAGTTATGGAAAGGTTTATACGTGCTTATCAGCTCATGCTGAGATTTTATGGAATCATTCTGATCGACGAGAAAACTGGAGAACTTAAGAGAGCAGAAAATTGGGCTGAACGATTTCAAAACTTGAACCGGTGAGTCTCTGTTTATATTACTGGTCATTTATGACAGCCAGGCACTTCTCTGAGTTGTCTTCTCAAAGTCAAGAAAATCCTCAGCCCTTGAGGAACGGAAGCTCTTGTTGATAAAAAAGTTAGCTAGCTAAAGTAGTTTGAACTTGGCTTAGCCTCTTGACTGTAAGTCATCACACTCTGTGATAAGTAAATCAGCTGAGACTGGTTTTCTTTTGTATCTGATACAGCTGTTAACAGCAGGCAGTCTTCATGTTGGTCTCCTGAGGTATGAAATACAGACTTGCAGATGTTAATATTTGTTCTAGTAGAGCTTGTGTTTAAAACCATATTTTAAGCAGGAACCACTGCAATATTTTCATAGGTAGCAAAATTGTCTCTGTAGTGTTCTGTTAAACTACAAAATAGGAGTGTTTCCATATGCTTCTCTGGTGGTTTATAAAGCTGCCTTAATGTCTGTGAAGTACCTCAAATCCTTGATTGAAAAGTGCTCTGCAAAATGATGGTAATGTTTTTATACTATTGCAGGTCTTCTCAGAGATAGTAATGATGCTTCGTATTCTAGTACCCCTAATGATATTAACAGGGGCTCTAAAAGGACTGGGCATACTCACAAAAGAAAAACTGACTTGAAGGCTGTCAAGTAAAAGAAAAAAAAAAACAAAGGGACATAAGCTAGACACAGATAAGTCATGAATTTCTGGCAGCATCCTTACATGCCTGTATTCTTATACTTTTCTACAGGCTTACCCTGCAGGGTCACTGTCAGGGACAGGGTATTGGGCTGCACGGACTTGTGTGGTGGCTGTTATCTACTGGTGAATGATGCAGAAAGACAAAACCTTTCCAAGCAATTGAGATGATTAATCCTAGCAGCCTAAGAAGGGCTAGGAAGTTACTGCTGAAGGCAGACAGCAGCAGTATGTGCTTTAAAAGTAAGCCTGCCTATACTTGCATCTACGTTGTCAAATAGTCTTTAATAGATCACCATCAATAACGCACAAAATGTTTTGCAGATACCCTGGAGGTTCATAGTGACTTGTAAGACTTTCTCTTAACAACTTTGCTTCTCTGTTTCGTTCAGGTTCAGCCACAACAATTTGCGGATTACTCGCATCCTGAAGTGCCTGGGGGAGATGGGTTATGAACACTATCAAGTGCACTTGGTAAAGTTTTTCCTAACAGAAACTCTTGTTAAGGAGACATTACCAAATGTCAGGAGAAGTGCCTTGGATTACTTCCTGTTCACCATCAGAAGCAAAGAGAAGAGAAGGGAACTCGTCCACTACGCTTGGCAACACTTCAAACCTCGAGGCAGCTTCGTGTGGGGGCCGCATGACAAACTCTTGAAGTACAGACCCCGCTCTGCTAAGTCACAGCTGCACCAAAAGGCTGAAGATAAACAGGAAACTCCTGGTAAAAAGTGTTGTGATCCTGGGGAAAAGGATCAGAACCCGTCTCTAGAGGAAGAACAGAAAGCTGGAGATGCCTCAGACTTGCAGCCTAAAGTGAACGATGAAGATGTGAAAGAGAAGATAAATGAATGTGTTTTGAAGGGAGGAGATGGTGAAGAGGAGAAAGAGGCTTCACTTACCCAGCAGGAGGAAAAGAATTTAAACAGTGAGGCTGAAGAAGTGCAGAGTACAGCAGAGAATGATTGCATAAAGGAGAGCAAGAAGAGAAAACTGGATGCAAATATGGCAGATGCTAAAAAGAGCGGGCTATTGAATGGCCCTACTGATATTGAAAACATTTCCCGTAATCTGGGAGAATGTGCAATTGATGCAGAAATCCACTCCTCACTTTCACTCTCACAAGCAGAAGAGGACCAGGAAACACTGAAAGAAGACAGTTCAAGCACCAAAGACTCAACAGTGCCGGAGACAGCTGATGCAGCTGTAAAACGGAGGAAAGTTGATAAAAAATCATCAAGAAGCAGAACATTCAACTTGGCCATAAACCTGAACGTGGGGCCCTCTGCCTCTACTGCCAAGTTAAATCCATCTGTTGCAAACACTGAGGCTGAAAATGAAAATGTCAGTGAGAAAAACACAGCTGTGGAATTGACAAATGAGAAGAGGGGTGGTGATGCAAACGGTGGGGCTGTGAGACCCCCGGTTGGTTCCGGGCTCCCCAAAACTGGCTGGACTTCTCCAGTAAGTGATGGCTTGGAGTCAAGTGGAGATCAAATCACAGCAAGGAGTGACCAGCACCACTGCAACAGCATGCTCCTGGAAGGCAAAAGTGAGATAGATGGGGTAGAACACCATGAAAAAGCAGAAGTTGCAATTGAAAAAGGGCAAACAGAAGTCACAGGCAAGAAACAAGTTCCAGAGAGTCTCAAGCAGAGTGTGGCATCCGCTTGTCCTGCAGAAGAAAGTGTTGAGGTTGCAACACAAAAACCTGAAACCTCTGAGCGTGCAGCAGAACCTGATGAAGAGCAGGTAGCAGCAGAGTGAGACCAGCACAGCATGTACCCAAGAAAGTGGAGATGACACTGCCCTATCTGCTAGGAGCTGGCTTTAGTGATTTGGAGAGCAGAAGTACATGGAAGAATAAACTTCCTTTGGGCTGATCCAGGCTAGCCTCTGTCTTTTACTCTTCCACACCTTTTTAATCATCTGTAGTAACTTCACTGAGATCCAGCCTTTGGTTACTCTAAAGAGGAAAACTTAATTTAGTCATCTTCACAGACAGGCTGTGTCTTCTTCCTGTTTTTTATCTGATGTTCAGGACTGTATTGGAGCAACAGGGATTTTTGCACTTTGCTTTGATTCTGGTATGTCACTTCTTAAAGAGAAGAGGAAAACTGATCTGTTTCCTTGTTTGGACTAGTCAAGTATTTATTAAATACCTGATTTTTAATGTAAGACAGCATGACCTAATTTGCCAGGCCTTTCTATTACCATGTAACTTCTATTTGTTATTTTGAAGGGCTGTACCTTACCAGGAGATTCATTCCTGGCGAAGGTGCTGTTTGCCTGAAAGAGAGGAGTGTGTTCATTTTATATCATATAAGAGTGTCGTTGCCTCTTCCACAAAGAAAATAGGTTTGACTTCAGACTGGGATAAAATGCATAGTCAAAACATCACTGACCAGTATTAACCTTTGTGTATACCTCTAGGGTGCAAAGTGCTGAGTAATTTTTCCCTTTTATACCCCTCAGAAGTTGTTTTGTAGTGCTGCTTAGAATTGTTGAGAATGTGAATTTTCTGCCAGTTTCTAAGAGGAAAAACCTTCAGACTTTGCATAAAGCACTATAGAGCTCTTCTTCCCCAGATTTTTCCACCACTTTCAGACCCCTGGTAGTCTTGCACATATATTTATGTCCGCAACTTGTTGAAAGGCCTTCCTTCCTCAGTTGCCAAAATAGGACAAATATTTATTATTGCAGGTTTTTTTTTTTTTTAGACTGATCTTAATTTGCAGTGGCCTGTGGGGCTTCCTTTTCTGCAGGACCATTGCATGAATTTAGGTGTGTCAAATCTAACCCACTTCCTAGTTAGGGCAAGATTGTTTTACCGTTAATGATCAGCATGTCAGACAGTGAGGTCATGTTCAAGTGCAGCATGTCTGGAAACCACTGGGCTTTGTGGGGCAGTTAATTGAAAGTTTAATTGGAAGGGGTATGCTTGTCTGGTGCATTTACTTACAGCTCTCAAGATTTTACTTTCAGACCTTGCCAGCTATTTGCCTGCCTTAATGTTCCTGACCTCCCTGTTAGCTATTCTGCCTGACTTACACAGTATTCAACCGACTCTGAAGGAACATTAAACAATTTAGCACTTTGCTCCTAGAGATTTATAACAGAGGATCTGTTTCATGAAGCAGAGGAAACTTTCTAACAGCCAGAAGGTCTGGACTTGCTATTTGTTCAGATTGTTTGTTTTAGTTTTGGGGTTTTTAGGTGCTGTTTGTTTTGTGTAGATGGCGGCCAGAGGCTTGCCTGCCTTGCCAGAGAGCAGATGCAGTAGCCCGTGCAATGTTAATGTTTTTCCTCTCTCTGCTACAGCTCTTAAAAAGCTTCATCTTTCAAGGAATTTGATCAGTGACTTGCCTTCCCAGACTGTAGGTCCTGATCCAGCATGCCACATACATGTGTGTGGGAATAAAAGTCTGCAAGCTTAACATCAAATGTTCATGGTCACACGCATGCTGGAAAAAGGCTTTAATGTTTTTAAAATTACTTTTTTTTTTTTCTTCTTATGAACAAATGGAGTTAAATAGCCAATAAGAATACACTTAATTACAGGTATGAATACTTTAAGATGGTGAGTGAAGATTCTTTCATAAAAGATTCATAAGAAATTGTTAATTGTGGCTTTTGTACAGATTTATAGTATTTTTTTTTATTTAATGAAGATTTCATTGTGAATATGTGCTCACTTGGGGGCGTAAATCATATATCTTGTTATGGTGATGTGTGGTTTGGTTTTGTGTTTGATGGGATTTCACTGTGAGCCCTAGTCTGGAGTGCTCAGACCAAACCATTCCCCGTTGTGAAAATGTTTAGTTTCGGCCATAGGTGTCTGCAGTGAGTTCACAAGACGTTTTCCAGCGCTCAGAGCTGTATCACAGAGTCTGTTTCATTAATGTCACCTATTAAAGCATGACTTTAATGCATACCAGTTTCCACCTATGTTTTTTTTTCCAGCCTTCCCAGGCAGTGGCCTGGAGGGCCCACCATGAGATAAACCTTCTGCTCGTCCCTTGGGGAGACGATGCTCCGTCTCCCTCCGCTGCTGCAAAACATGGCCAGAGAATGTTTGTGGGGAAAAAAACACCCCTCCCACCTGGTCCTCGTTTCATGATGTTCTTTGAAATGTTTCGGTAGGCCGCGTTTTGGCTCTGCGGTGCCATCCTCCCAAGAGTGTGTGGTGATGCTCCGCAGAGCAAACAAGGACTTTGGTTTTGAGTAGCTCTTGGGGCTTGCAGGCAGGAGGGCACTGCCCGGCCTGCGTACGGGGTTTTAGTCTAGTGAGCCTTTTCCTTCAGGACGTGAGCATGGGGATGTCTATGGTAATGATTTCTGTAAGTCACTGTGTCCCTTCAGCTGTGCTTCCCTCCGCCAGGAGATGCGGAAGGAGAGGACCGGTCCTGCTCTTGTTCTGTGGGGTGGGCTTGGGGGTGAACACCCCCAGGGCTCTTCCCTTGCTGGTCATAAGCAGGCTCTGCTCGCAGCAGCCCTCCAAGCCCCGGCTTGCTATGAGCAATGTGTGGCCGAGGAATTTGGCTCTGCTTTGCCTTCTCTCTTGCCATCAGTTGGCCTTGATGGGAACGAGGAGGTGCAAGCTCTGCACGAAGCGGTTCCTGCTACTGCGCTGTTCTCCCTCTGCGGGGTTTGTGGTGTCTAATAAAAGCATTGCTTCCTTTGAAGCCATCTGAAGATGTACCAACACACGCTCCCTTTTTGTCCCCAGCTGCTTGTTCCACAAAATCTTGTAGGAACTTTTTAAATCTTTGAGCCCTTTATCTCTCTCTCAAGGTTTGTGGAATATTGGCTGCTGGGGAGCCAGGCAGGCATACACTGTGTGCTCATATAAACCTCCTGGTGTAAGGATGCCAAACTGAAACCTGGTATTTCATTTTTTAAGCTTTGCTTTTCCACTTCTGCTCTCGCTGACCAAATGAGCTGTGACATTTCAGTTCTGATGAATCTTGCCAGTGTTCCTCTCCACTTCCACACCCTGCTTTGGATGAAATTGTCTTTAGTCGATAAAAGAAAGCATGACACTATTTGCAGGAGATGTGTCTTCGTGAATATATTGCTATTTAGAATCACCTAGCTGGGAACTGTCATCCTGTTCCTTGCAAGTAGTTCAAATGCAATTCTTCCTTTTTTTTTTTTTTTTTTTTTTTTTTTGGCTCTGGGAATGTTTCTCCTTTTTTCTTCCTCATATCTGTCTGCGATCATCTGTTCTCTGGTCAGGATTCATCACTTCCTCAAGAAATCAGTTGGCATTCTTTTTGTACTTGTTACAGGTATATTAAGTACTTGTTACAGGTATATTAATTTCTCTAGTGAAGCTAGGTAGCCTCAAGCAGTGAATAACTCGCTCTGTGTTGCTTTTTACCTCTCCAGCACTGAGGTGATGATGGGCTCTGAGAAATGGCCTGGGTGAGACCTAAGGAACATCTTTGTATCTCCAGCTGGAGCAGCCGACTTTTGCTCCCACGGTGTGTCTGCCAGTCCGGCCCTTCCTTGGGCTCCCTCCCTGTTTGCTCAAGGCTGGGGCTGCCCAGCGGGTCGTGAATGAGAGCTTCTCTGACTGACTGCCTGCTGCTCCCCCTCCTTCTCCCACCTCCTTCCGAAACCTCCTCTCTCCTCCCAGCTCGGCCCCTCTTGCCTGTGCTCCTGAGTTCTGCCCCTCCGGCTGGAGCCGCAGGTTTATCTGGAGGCGAGGAGTCTCTCCTTTGTAAGCCGAGACCCAGGAGGAGGAGGAGGGATCTGCTGGACCCTGAAGAAACGGTTTAGCTGCCCAGGAGGAACAAATAGAGGCAGAGCTTGGGCACCATGGCTGGATTCTCTGCTCTTGGGCTACTTTTCCTATGTCAGCTGTTGGCTACAGCCTCAGCTCAGGTAAGAAGCCTCATTTATGTCTTACGCTCAAAAAAGAAGGTCTGAAAGGGAAAAAGATAGTCATCTGCATATGTTATACCTGCAGGATGAAATGTGGGAATAGGCAGGTTATTAAAGTCTAAATTTTATTAAAAATCTATGTGTTGCTTGTGCTGTTACACAGAGAGTGCCTAGCAAACACATCTGGGTGTGTACCTGCATAGGTAAGCTTTTAGATCGTGTCCTCGTGTGTAGAAAATGCTGCTTTATACTTTGTGTAAAAGAATTGTCTTCCCATTCAGGACTGCAGTTACGAGAGATAAAGCCTTGGGAAAGGGGAGACCTGTTGATGTGAGAGAAGCAGTTTTGTTTTACAATGAAGTAATAGGTTACCAATGAGACTGATCTCCTGATCTGGGTCTTCATCTGAATTCCTTATTCCTCCTCTCAATCAATTTTCAGATTTTTACACTTGCAGAACAGTATGTTTAACCCTTGTTCACTTCAGACGTGAAACTATATTAAACTTCCCTGTATGGTATTAATATTATTGCCTGGGGAAGTAACTCCTCAGTGAGGTTTTTCATTGTGTTCGTGAGGAATTTTTGCAGTCTGGCTTGGGAATTCAGAGCTGCCCCCATCTGCTGTGAGCAGAGCTGCTTCTACAATGAAACCTTTGTTCGCTTGAAGCTACAGCAAGTTGCTCTCTGGAGCCCTCTCCATACAGAAGTCATTTATTGGACCTTTCTTGCCTTCCCCCCACCTCAGACCTCCTCCAAAATGCCAGTTTTTCAAATGGCATCCTGCTCAGAGAGGAGAATTTCCCTTTCTCCTTCTGTCTTCAGCAGTGTCTGCCTGGCTCTTCCATCACCTCATAAGACTGGGAGTATAAATTAATTTTTAATGCCAAGCACTTGGCACCTATTTTCCGTGGGCTTTGCATTTCCTCCTCTGCCCCAAATGAAACGTGCCTGTAGGCAGTGAGAACCCTTTCCTATACAATCAAACCTATTTGCCATCCAGTGACCAGCTCCAGTTCTCAGCATAAGCCACCAGTTAAACAAGCTGGGAGCCCTGAGGATGTGCTCAGTCAAAAGTCTTTTCCAAAGAGCCTTGCAATGGTCCTGAGCTCCCCTGAGTCCACCCAGGACGGTGGGGGTCCCTGAGGGATGGAGAGTTAGTGCAGATTTAGGGTCAAGCTGTAGGACTTGGATATTGATTTTTTGATTCAGCCCATATGTTTCTTCCGATTCAAAAATAAACTCTTCTGTCTCTCTTTTTCCCCAATCCTTTCAGAGAGTAGGACCACAAGGCCCTCCTGGACCACGAGGACCCCCTGGACCATCTGGCAAGGACGGCATAGACGTGAGTGTGCCGTTTGGCAGGGGGAGGGCAAGGGGTGGAGCAGAGGCAGAGCCAACTGAGCAGAGAAGCTGCTCTTGTTCTCCAGAGCCCCAGCCTTCAGGCCATCCTTCAGAGGTGGATGGACCTGGAGAACCATCCTACTTGCAAAAGACCTCCTTCTGCAAGAGCCAGAACAGCGAGTGGAGGTGCTGAGTGGCCTCAGGTTCTCTGCAGGATCAATCCCTTGTCTCAAGAGAGAATTCAGGACAGAGCCAGGGATTCGTGACCCTGCTTGCAGAACAGAGTACTTCTCTTTTAGGTGTCTAGGGAGGAGGGGGAATGTCATACTGTTGTGTGCATGGGTATGATGTGCCTCGGTCATTGCATGTTCTGTAGTTCAGAGAGGTTTATGTGACACTTCAGAGCATCCATGTTTCTAGAGAGGCCCCAAGAAACTCGAATATGCAGGACTGGCCACTGCTCTTACTTATATTGGTTTTATTTCAGCACTGTTAGCATGGCTATCCCTAACTTACATTGGCATGTGAGAGGTCAGAATCTGGCTTGTGTGTTTCTAGAGTTAGGTTTAGTGGCACAATGGACAAATGAACTGGACACCCTTTATTTCAGCAGGCAGTTCCTTATATGTACAGCTCCTGCAGAGGTAGAATACTATGTATCACAGGATTTACTGGAGGAGAAAAATTTGTCCTATTACTTTTAATTGATGGTTCCACAGAAATGAAAAATTTTCCCTCTGTGAATCTGTTGGACAAGGACTGAATTGTATCCCGTAGTTGGCAGTGGATAAAAAGAGCATCAGATGGACCTTCAACAAGACCACATCAAATGCAGAAGGCCAGATTCCCGCTTCAATATTCAGTTTGAGTAGCGCTTGTCTCAGCTGCTTTTGGAATAGGGCAGGTTTTTTTAAAGCTTGTCTGAAGTAAGTTTCTTGGAATTGGGCATTTAAACAACCTTGAAAAAAATCCATTCATTCCATGCAGGTCATTTTCTTTTGGATAAGAAGGTAAAAAAAGATATACAAGTTCCCTGGTATATGGTGAACAAGGAGCTTTTTTGTCTTCAGTGGTGAGCTTTCATAGTGGCTCTGTGAGCAAGGCTGGTCTGAAGAGAGAACCTCATTGATTTGCAGCTAGTCCCTCTAAAGTGTCCTTCTGACTAACATAGACCGTTTTACTGAAAATCTCACCCTGGTTTTGTAGCATGAAAAGTGCAGAGCTGGTACCTCGACAGTTTCTCTCTGCTGTTTTTCATGATACAGTAAAAGGCTTAAGGGGACACCCTGGGAGAGGGCGAAGGACATACACTTACGTTTGCAGCAGGGAGCCCGTGGAGTCACTGCAGTGGGACATCAGTGTGGCCAGCGGGCTTCAGGAACGGGTGGCTGTGTTTCTGTGCAGAGCAAAAAAGAAGAATTTGGGAGGGATGAAGCCCTTCAGACTTCAGGTTGTAACCAACTTCTGCATATAGGCAGTCTGAAGAAACAAATCCCTGTAATTGTGTCATTCGGTTCCTGATTTTCTACAGGATATTTTACACCTTAAATTCTGGAGCAGCACCAGCATCACTTCTTATTGCTTTTGGAAACAGGAGCCTGGGAGGAAGCTGGTCACGTGAACCTGCACCCTGTTATCCACTGCTAAAAGCCTTGGAAGGCTCCTGTGGGACAGGACCAAATAGCAACATCTAACTCACA